TATAATCAGACATATTAAAAATTAGTCAACTACTTATAAATTATTAAATATTCTGAATTACAAATTGGCAATTATTTTAAACTGTATCTATAACAGAAGAAATGATCTTTCGTTAGGATGAAGTTGCATATTTAGTTAGAAAAAGGAAATAATGGAAAATTCGAAACGGTACAAACCTGTGGAGACAACCTGTGACCGTAGTCAATGATCTCTTCAGCCCGAACCAGAGTGCATTAAAGCGCAACCTGCGTGTCCCAGAGTGTAACTGAATGCATCGTGTATTGACAATAGTGTCGATGGTTCGATGGGGATGAATATCTATTGATTGGCAAAGCCACCCTTCCGAATCGCCTCGATACATAGGCCCATACCTGCCGCGACCCCAAATATGCTCGTGCTACCTGCGAGTAGTATGCAGCAAATTATCCCATTTTCAGTGCCACGTGCCGCGTGACAGGTACATAGACGTACAATATCTAGCACGGAACACTGTTATTTTCGCTACTTAATAATCGATATTAATAACCGTAAATTATCAAGTATTAAACGGATAGATAAAATTCGTGAAATCCACTAATTCAGAAAAATTCATGGACAAGTGTTGATTCAATCAAGTCCTTCACTTGGGCTATTCTGAGCAATACAAAATTATAAATTTAGTCGAAACATTAACAGAATATTCTTAGAAGCTTCAATTTTCGATTGCTACAAAAAAATCGCAAGGTCAACGATAAAATTATTGAAAAAGAAACATTATAAAAATTAATTTTTAACACGATGCCCCTCTAACATACTCCGCGGTTTTCCATTACAATTAAGACCTCTTCGGTACGAACATTTCCTATCAATTCACTTCCATATGGATATTATAATTACGAACCCGGACAAAATGCATAACGGACGTGCGTATTAAATACCCACGACCAGTTTTTTTCTCCGATCACACGCATGATCGCGGCCAGATCCACATCCATTAAAAATTGGTAACTCGATAGCAGGGTACCTACGTATTGGCCTAGCGTGAGAGGCCGAAGACGAAAACGATACATTTATTATGCAGCGGCGGCCGAAGAAAGCGATACATTTGCTATGCAGGACCTCTAAACAATGTCCCCGGACGGGTTCTCTCCGTCACCGGTGTTTGTTCGTGCGCACGATTTCATATCGTGTTAAACATTCAGAAACCGGAAAGTGAAAAAAGAAAGGAACGAAGCGACGCCATTACGTGGGACCTTGTGTAAATTCTCAGGCAGATATCAGTCAAAAACGTTTCGTTCATGGTACATACTTTAGAATAACTCACCAATTTATTTGTATAATAAATTCTCCAGAATCATTCATTGCGAATATTTTAGTACTTTTTCTATTCTTCATTAGTAAAGATTAACCTTATGAGTTAAAGTTCTTAATTTTACTAGAGCTGAGGTGCAAAATAGAGTTATACACCTATAATAGCGGTCGTGAGAGAGATTAAATGAATTACATGAGAATATAGAGTTTATGTAAATTAAATGAGAATATAATTTAATGGAATACAAGTAGATTTTTTAATGTTAGTCAACTTGTCGTACAAATAGGCAGTAATAAATACTGCTCCTAGTTTACGTAAATAAATCCTTCAATATCATTATTTCCATAAACGTCCACATTTTTTCATGAGTTACCTAAAAGACAAGTCAATTCGCCAGAAGTTCAAAATCACTTTTGAACACAGAAAGTACCTTACAATACCAAGTACCATACGATATTTAGTCAATCTCCAACAAACACCGTAATAAAGTAAACTAATTTCCCAAAACCCGTAACAAAAAGAAGGAACATTCGCTCGGAAATCCCTCTAAAAAATTCGACATCAGCGCGGCGAACGTGAGACGTGCAACACCTCTGACGAATATATTGTAAAATTATTCGTAGTATCGATTACGTTCCGAGAAGCTCGTGGCGGAACAGGGAGAGACAAGAGCAGTGGAAGAACGAAGGCCCCCTCGTATCCCGGATACGTTCCTGTCCTGTCAGTCGTATGTCAACCCCTCGTTGTTTTTTTTTTTGCCGCGCTCTTAATAATTGATCATCTGATTACGATACATTATACCCCCCTTCCTTTTTTTGTTCTACTTTGGTACACACCGTCAGAGGGCATTATTCGTGGCACCGAGGGAAACCGAGCAAAACGGGCGCAACAGAGAGAGGAGAGAAACTTTTTCTTTCCGCCGAGACCGTGGCGAGGGACGGCCATTTGCATATAGGCCCCCTTATCGACAAATACACCGGGGGCGCCCCTCGTAATGAGGGCCCCCTCCTCCCCTTGCCCCCTCTACCTCCCCTCCTCTCTCCTTTATTTTTTTCAAACGTGGACCGCCATTGTCCGTTAACTCATTCGACGTGGCAGCGTGGACCCAGCTTCGCGTATCTCCCTTCCTTCCTCGTTATCCTCTTCATCTTTCTTTCTCTCCCTCTCTGTCCCTCCCGTGATCTCACCCTACTACCACTCTGTCTCTCTCTCTTTCTCCCTCTCTCACGTATGAACGTATATACATATATGAACGTATACACTATGTTCCTGAGCCGAACCGCGTTAAGGAGAGAAAAAAAAAGAAGCCAGACGGGGAATAACAGAACCGGTTGCACGTCGAAAAATATGAATCATAGAGATACAGAGCTGGAAGCGTGAAAGGTGTCCTAAGAGAGATTCTCTACCGTGACATCTGCTTTTTCGAGATAAATATGAGAAAAAAAAAAAGAGATTGAAAGGGGAGAACCGATGGAGAACAGTTAACGGTGAATGGGCGCTGTTTGGTATCGCGAGGTTGGTGAGAATGATTCTTCTGTTGGTGGGTTAGATTGTAGGGTAGCTCACGGTGCAGTTGGAGGACTTCATACGATTGCGATTGGGCTGTCGTTTTAGTGGTCACCTTAAAACTGACCATATGAAAATTAATTGAAATTAACGCTGCGTCGAAACACGCCGGATCAACCATTCGAGTAACTTCAATTAATACTCACTACATAATATTATTAATGCATTTTAAAATTACAATGAATGCTGAATAAGATTTTGATTTATATACATAAACTATGTGGAATTATAACACTACATATGTATTTTCATAGTGATCGTCCATTCATTTCCCATCAATCTAATACAAAACACGTATATTCGATGTAGCCTCGAAAATTAATCTCACACAAGTGTATGCAAAATAAATTCGGATGTATTCATATACATATAGGTATATACCTATAAACATATCGAAAAATTTAATGAATGTATGAAAGAGTGGTACGCATTAAAAAGATTTCATACGTTAAAAAAAAAAACAAAAATTTATATTCAGTTAATATTAAAATTATTTCGATTAACAATAAAGATCTTAACTGTATTGAAACGGTGAAACCGCTATTTCACGCGATTTTCGCGGCGATATAGCTGCTCGTCCAAAATACCAAGCCTGGCTTCGTATCCTCGAGAGACCGATCGTTACCGACTTCGTTACACAACTGTTAGGATAATCTGCGGCGAGAATCATGAGCCGTGATACATGTACACGGAGCATGTATAGGTATGTCCGGCCCCGGACGGGGGTGAGGGCAGGTGTACCCTCCGAGAGAATAATTAATATTCAGCGAGGAAAAAGTGGGCGAGAGCCCAACGATGGTCTTCTCTTATGAACAGTTAGCGCGTTAGCGTACACGGCCGCTTCTAGACACGCAGCTGGTCCTCCCAGTAAAGACTCCCGTGAGCCAATTATGTACACCGTCTTGTCCGTCCTTCTTACACCGTAATTGTTTAACATTTGATCAACTGGCCCGGTACCAACCGGCCGAATTTTATGGGACCTGATGATTATCGGGCGACTTCTTCGTTCATCGTTCCGTTCCTAGAATTTGTCGATTCGCGAACGATTAACTCCTTAATGCATGCTTTTCTTGTCAAAGATGTCTGTGTCTAACACTGCAACATATTCAATACGTAAATTCTACCAATCCACTAAATATACATACTTTCGATTTAAAGACTCTATTGAAAAATTTCAGATTTTATATAATCCCCGATTCGAAGCCCCCTCCCCTCAGGAAAATACGCCATTTCTCGCGCAATGAGCCAATAAATAGAATTCTCGAACTCGACCGAGGAAATTTTCAGTGGGTAAATTGAAAAAAAAAATGATGTCGAACTTCAGGCTGGCACGTTCGCCGTTTGAAAGCTTGAAATGCAATTCGACGAGCGCGTTGCCAGTCCACTAACACAGATACCCAGCAATCTTCGGGTGAAATCTCGGTAGCCTTGATAACGAAAGCGCCACGGGTTTCTCTCTCTCTTTCTCTCTCTCTCTCTCTCTCTCGGTGCAGGACGAATTGCAGCTGCAGAAAACGAGGAAAACTTGCGATCAGATAACGGGACGAAAGCAGAGGCGAGGGGCAAGGGTATAAAGGAGTTAGAGAAAAAGTGATAGCGGAAGGGGGTAGTATGGCGGCGTGGGGGCGGAGGTGGGGAGGGAAACGGTGTACAAATTACGACCACCCGGAAACTGGTCTCGTGGCCGTGTTAACTTTCGTCGCGTGCCTTCAGGAAATGCCTCAACTTTTGCGAACCACGTGTTATCGTCCGAGCATTATAAACTTTCCATTGCCCCGGCCGAGCCTTTCCCTCCCCATTCATTTTCCCTTTCCTTGTTTGCCTTCATTATTTACGACACTTTAACGAATTTTACAGAGCAACCTTGCCGGCGCAACGCGTTGTTTGAATTCGAAAGTGAAGAACGATTAAGAACGATAGGACATAGAGGTCTGTCGCAGGGTCAATTGTGACCCATGAATGAACAAGAAAAGAAATACTTATATTTCCATGATAAATTTCTTGTTTTACATATGTATATTGGAACTACTAAAGGGCAATATCTTTTTCGATATTCTATTGTATCGTTCACAAGTACATTGTTTTACAAGTATTATTATTTTAACTACATAAATGTTGAGGAAGAATTACATTTTGTTTTCAGATACGAGGCAGTGCAGCTAATATATCATGAGGTGACAAGCGCTTACAGACAGTCAGAGATCGACTGGAAAATAATCCATGATGCAGGATGTACCAGAGACGACACTGACTTGCCCGATCACGTCACTTCACGTACCGATCTCGACCGTTTGATCAGTGGAACATTCAGATCATTCCTGGCTGCGCTGCCCAGCGTACCAACTATTGTAACGATTGCAAGGTAATGTGATTATTTTGTAAATATCCCGTTAAGTATTATGACATATTATGATAATTCTATTTCTAGAAATTAAAAAGTTTAAAAATAGAAATTTTCACAAATCAAGAGCTTGTGTCAACATGCCCCTATTTTACAGTAATTTGTTCTTTTAACAATACAATTCTTTCAGAATTGAGTTATAATAGCGAATGAAATAAATCGTTATATGTTCACTTAAAGATCAATTAAAATATGCTTTTTTTTATACAAGTCCGCGTTACCTAAACAAATTCTTCAATAATACAGATTCACTGTCTCTTTTAGCAAAATGATGCATACGCGATAATAAGAAAATTACAATAACGTCGCAGATGAGATGTCAATGAACGTCGTCAGTGATAAAAGTCGAACCGCTTTAGATTTTTGGTACCCGTCGAATTGAACTTTAGCCCTGTCCGTTCACTTTCGAGAGTGTACAATGCTGGGGGTCGCAGATGGCGTGGACTAAGATGCTGGGAGGGCTGAAAATAGAGAAAAAGGGAGGGTCGTAGGGGGTAGGCATGGGTTGGGCTCGGCGAAGGGTGGGTTCATGGACGTGTTCAGGTGCCATCCAAGCCCCACCTTCCATGTGGGTAAGGGGTGGCCTCCTAAGGGGTGTACAAAATCAAACCCCCGACCTTTCGGCGCTCGTTGTCAGATGTCTCTGTCTTCGAAGTCCCGCGACAGATGCTAATTACTCCTTTATCCCCGCGCTACGCTCTAGTTGGTCGGATGATTAAGGCGAGACGCGGTAATCCGTTTCTCAATTTCGCCCTGACTCGGAATAAACACGGTACGCCGGGAAAATTGTAATTTATGAATATACACATGGGGGACGCGACGATACTAATGGCATCATGACGATGTCCTGTCCCGCGGAAAAAATTCGTGTTTCTATGAAATCTTTGAGATGGATCCTTTAAATTTCGTCTGGTAAGTACATATGCGATTAGTATTCTTTTAATTTTCTACGATATATATCGTCAAACTTCTTTTAATTTACAATGGGATTTATCGTATAATTATGTCCCTGCTACGATTTTTCGAGACAGTTTTTACACAGATTTTATTGGATTTGTGAGAGACCAAAAATAGCTATTAAGTTATAGGCTACATAAACATTTAAGGAACTTATAATTGTATAGGAATGTTACGTGATATACGTTTACTTTTGTTAGTGTGTGACAAAAGAGCATTCTTTACGTACTAATGAAGTCATACTCGCATCTTACATATGTATGGTCATTTATTTAGAACTGGATCCTGGATAATATAACCTCGAAAACCATAACAAACTATTACAACAAATTTACTAAACTATAGCAACTTCAAATTGATATTCGAAATTTTTATTTCCGAACATTCTCGAAGAATTGATTCAATTCAAAAAACATATGCATATTTATATGAACCACTTTTCTATTACTTTTTAAATAACGTTTAATTATTACAAGAGACTCCATAAAATACCAGGAGTAATTCTGTAATATTTATAAATGCAGAAAAATAATTAGACGAATATATTATAAGGAATTTAACGTTCCAGATCTTCTGAAGAAGTTCAGTAATAATGAAATTGCACGACAAAAATAATAACATCATCTGTAAACGGTTAATTTGGCGCCATCTCGTGATAAAATTACAGAAACGTTATTCGAACTTCCGGCCGTGCCAGAAAAAAAAATCGATTCCATCCCACCCCGGGCACTAGCAACCCTCCGCGACTCGTTCCTCTCCATCCCCCTCCTGGCACTCCTCGTTTCCGGCAAAGACGCGAAAACGCCGCCGGATGTCGCCTCTGGACGGCACCGTGGTTCTCTTGCAGCCTGCTCGGCGACAATTAAACGAAAACAAAAAAGTGAACAGGCCGAAATAATTACGAAGAAAAAGGAATTTATCACGCCTGGTAAACCTTCAAACTTTGTTAGATCAACGACAGTCAGACTTTATCGTCTCTTCGATTATTGAAATGCTGTATTCATTTTTGCGAGCGTAACAAATGAGTACGTTTAATTTTTGAGTATTGCAATTCTGTTAACTCTGGTGTTAATTAAGAGGAAAATTTTATTTATCACCCAAAAGTGAAATCATTCACATTACATTATTTCAGATCCAGCGAGGACGAATACTGTCCTCCAGAAGATGTTGACCAAATACAGGTCGGCGTACTCGAGGAACTTCGTCAGCGTTTAGGAGATATAGACATCCGTATGGCATACCAGGAAGAGGAAACATTCTAATTCCAAACGCTGAAAATTAAATATACCCTTCCTTTTTCATAATAAAATATACGAAACAATTATTTGCATACAATAAACATCTTTGTAAAAATATTTACGGTTAATAGTACTGTTCCTTCTCAACAATCAACCGTGTGTTCTGTAAATCCAGAAAATTTACATTCCACAAATAATAATGAGCAAACACAACGTATCGATTCGGCAAATCCGAGACATCAAAAGTCCGAGGTATAGACAATAGGTATATACATCGAATCGATGGAGTACATCAGAAGATCAGAAAGTGAAGAGGAAGAAGGAAACTGGCACGTCTTTGATCACAGGGACGATTTACATAAGATCGGTGCCACTGGTCCATTATGAGAAGCGAGCACAATACCCAACCTGAAGGTTAGCGTTTTTTTTATTTTTTTGCACCCCTCGACGGTTCCTCATTCCGCCGGTCGGCCATTTGCATACCGGTAGGCTAGTTTCCCACACGTCTTACCGGGCGATTGTTCCTTCCTTTTCCCTCTCGCCTACTTCGTCCCTTGTTTCCGTCTCCCTCGACGCTTCCTTTACCTTTTTTCCCCTCCCGCTCGTTTCACAACCCTTTTCAGCCGGCAAAGAAACAAAAAAATGCCAACAGACTAGGAAAAAAGACGTCTTCCTTCTTCCAGGATGCTGGCGTTTCCTGGCGAAACTTCTTTCATGACGCGAGCCCGCATATGTTTACCCTATTCAGGCCGAGCCCCTGAATCGTCTGGACTGTGCTGGTGTGCACGGTTTTTTTGCGCTATTGAATCTCCTGCTGACTATAAATGCGGAAGCCCTTGGCAAGAATATATACGGACGTTATGCTGAATGGTGATCAATGTTTATGGGATTTCTTTCAATGAAAAATTACAAAATAACTTATCGTAACATAACATGTGTTACTTTTTTTTTACTTGAATTTTTGAAAGAAAATTGAGACTGACTTTGAAAAATCATGAAAAAAATAGTTGACAAAAAATTTGCTATAATCACGTTAAAGCTCTCTTGAAACCATGCTATACCAGATAAAAACATTTTCGATCGGACTGCTAATAACAGAGTAATCTCTATTGATCACGATTCGTGGTTCACCCTGTATTTCAAGCCACGAAATCACACATACCGCCGTGAAACGATCATAGAATGTTGCGTTTAAGGGGTTGCAGAGAGAGCGATAACGCGCGAATAAACGTTAAATGGACAAGGTGAATGCGGAAGTGCGGTCGGAAGGAAGGGCACGGAGCTTTAAAGAACCGCAAGGAAAGTTTACGAGCTGCGAACCTCACGTAATGACTGTCGTTAACCACGGTGTGCCGCGGAGGCCTCTCTCCAACGGCGAGAGCCAGACTTTTGTATGCTAATGACAGGGTGGTCCGATTTCATCCCGCCCCGAGTAAAAAATCTTAGGGGTCAACAGACCCATCCGTTCGCCCGAGTTTTTAAGTCTCCCTCGAGCACCATTGACCTCGAATTAAAAACGGGCCTCGACCTTCGACCCGCGCTGAAAAGTTTACGACGCGCCGTCGCCACCGTACTTTTCGCAAATTCATCGACGAACAACCACCGTCCCCCTGGTCCTCGCGATGCTCCTTATTCGTTCGAAATTAACTTCCGGTCGAGAGGCTCGTCCCTCGGTAGCGAACTATGGCGAGAGCTAGCTTACGGGACCCACGGGATAACGGCACGACATTCGCCGAAGTAACACGCATATTAATATTCATTAGATTACAGTGACTATTCTTATTTAACGAAAGAACTTCGAAGACAAGCGACGCAACTGGTAACCCAGAAAAGAAATTTCCGATGACTTATAGGGCGTTGTGCTGCTATAATTCTCGAAGCTTGGAAGCTTTTTAAAACAGGGTAGAAAATATGGTATTTTAACGTTTTTAGTAGAAAGGGAAATATTAAACCTTTAATGCCCGGACCCTTGAATCATTATTTCGAAACTACGAGACTATTATATATGTTGTATCTTCTTATTTTTAAATCGAAAATATCGATATTAAACAGACTTAGTTTTTTACTTCTTTCTCCTACTTTTATTAATTTTTCTAAACAGAAAATAGTATAACAATAAGGTTTTACATTTGCAATAAAATTGTATATTATTCAGGTAGATAAATTATTTGTCCCGTGAGAAAATGTGCCATGAATGATAGGAGTGGTCAAAACAATACGAAAGGAAGTTACTCGGGAAATATTGTTTTATATCACCGGGCTGTATATAATTTTAAACGTTTCATTCTCTCGTATGGCTGCTCGGATTTCATTCACCCAGGTGACACCGTGACATTGGGTTCTAGGGGAATTATTCAAAACCAGGCCTGGCTGGCAAAAGTACAACCGTCCCCGGCATCGTAATCCCGTATCCAATTTGCATAAAAGAGGAACACAAAAAAAGCAGCGGAAGAAAAAACAAAAGCATTGTGAGAATACAACAAAAAACGATGCGTTTCGAAGTGTGAACAATAAAACTGTAAATTAAATAAACTATATCACGTTCTACGTTTTATTAAAATCGTATATATTCAAGAAGGGTGCTGAAGGATAACTTCAACAGCTGCCCAGTTGTTTTATACACGCTTACTGAAATTCTAAATATCAACTTAAAAAAATCTTAATCTTTGATTAATCTTCGATTAACTTAAAACTGATATTACCCATACAATACAAATTTCATGTCTTGTTTCAAAACTATTCCATTCTTCAGGATAATTAAAATTTTAAAAATACCCATTTGAACAATTATCTAGTACAGTTCCATGAGAAACGGTCATTTTCGTGCACTGAAACTCGTTCGAGTCGGCATTCGAATTTCCACAAGCTCATTCATTTGCCAAATTGATTGACTCCACAAATCAATAAGTAGAAATTCATCTTAAATATAAAAAGTTTACCAATTCAAATGCATTGGAGTCAGTCACTTTGGCCTCTGAACGGCTCAAGTCAGACATCGACTTCCCCGAACCCAAAAGTCCCCGGGAACCCTTGCACTGCTCTCGTACCTGACGATTATGCGCGTGACGAAAGAGATCTTCAGAGAGGCAAGTATGCTAATCAGCAGGCATAATGCAATATCGATACGAGCCAGGCGAAAGCCAATTATAGCGTGGGGATCCGTCGCGGCCGCATCCCCGTGCACTCTCCTCGGTCTCTCCGAAAAACCGTCTCCGTGAAAGGGGTCGCACGCTGGAGCATCGGCCAGAAAATGAATGGCAAATAGAGAAAAAAAATGAGAGAGACGAGGAAGAACGAGGACGGGGCCCTCATAGACAACGCCATAGGCGGAGGCCACGTTGCCCCGTTGTTCGAAAGTGCTATTTGTATTTATTCGGGCTCTTTGTTCGTGACTGCGGATTCATGGGGCGGAGGGTGGGGTGGGCCGCTAGAGAGTGAGAGAGAGACAAAAATATTATTCAGACACGAAGCAAAGGGTGAAGTCCACTAGTTGTTACGGGGCTACACGGCGTTTCGGTCGAAAAAAAAATAGTTCCGACGCGATCTGATGCATTTGAGCGGGTTCACGGGCCAGAAGTGACTAACTTTATTTTTTGAATTTTTCCAAATTTTTTGTTGGTGCTTAACTTTTTATATTTGAGCGCTTGTAGCAAACGAACGGCTCAATTTGTTACGAGTGTTTGCTGACGAACGAGAGTGAGCTTGCTCCAATTTTGTTTGAAGTAACGTTATTCATTACGCGAAATAATTAGATCGTCAATTGTAATTAGCTTGTGTTTAATGAGGGATTCAGTGGTTTAGAATGTCTAATGTGAAGTATTAGTTGTATACAGAAAGAAATGTAATTTTTTGTCTATTTACTGAGTGAAGCAACTAACATTGGATAGTCACGCGTGTCGATTGTTTTAAATGAGAGTAGAAAATATTAGAGAAAAGAATCGTTCTGTTAATTACTTGTAACGAGTTAAAATACAAAATCATTAATCAGGAACTTTGCAATATTACACATATGTTTTCGTTTGTCGCCTGTATATGTATTTGTTTGAATAAATTACAAGGAACTGTTCACAAATCACAAGCACTGACTCACTCAGTGCTTAATGCATTTATACTTCAGTCCATGATCCATTTACATAATATTGTAAAAACTACGCAACTCTTCGAATTATCTTGCAAAGTATAATCGTAGACAAAAAGTACTGTTCAAATAACGTTTGTCATAAATTCGTACGATGATTTGCGAAGAAAATTAAAAATCAACCAGCTCGCGAATTTGCGTACTAAAAATTAGAAAGGAAAACATCGAGCAAGCGGATATTCGGGGGCCGGACGAGGTTAATCCGAAAAATCGAATTACGAGCAACCGTTCGCTCCATCATGCCAGATTCCCTCGTTCTCGTCCGGTGTGCAGTATGTGACGAGATGATTCCGTGTGTGCGTGAATGCATCTCGTGCCAGTGGATGCAACTGCGAGTGGCCAGTAGCTCGCAAAACGACTGACCGCTCGGTGCATTCCCTCGCCGGCTCTATCCGACCAACATCGCGAGTGACGTGTTAAAACAATTACGTTCTTTTTTTTTCTTTTGATCAAACAATTCGAAAAACTACTTCAACGCCAAGCTGTTCACCGTGTCTTACAATCGACGTAACGTGTACTTGGATTATTTACGAAACCAAGTGCATATTGTAAAAGAAGTGTCCCGCAAGCATGACCGTAGAAATTACCAAGAGTAATTTCTATATCAACCAAGAAAAGAAAGACTAACTGTGCTCGAAGGCATTCCGTCAGTTCTCGGTGTAATAAAGTTTTTAATGATTTCTATATATACAAGGTGTCAAGGGAATAGGTGGCCAAACCTTCGTGCCGTATTCTACGGTTCCTAAGAATGAAAAAGTGTCATATAAACTTCCTTACCAAGACATTGACACATTTTTCCTAAAACGAAAATTTAAGGTGTAGAACTTCACGCACTAATATCATTTCTTCTGATGGAAGTAAATAATATGATGGGCAAGTACCTAGTGTTTATATTGTTGGCAACGTGTTTCATAGTCGAAGCGAAGTATTATTGCAG